TTTTTTGCGGTACACGGGCCTCTCACTGTTGTGGCCTCTTCCGTTGCGGAGCACAGGCTCCGGACGCGCAGGCTCAGCTGCCATGGCTCACGGGCCCAGCTGCTCTGCGGCATGTGGGATCTTCCCGGACTGGGGCACGAACCCGTGTCCCCTGCACCGGCAGGTGGACCCCCAACCACTGCGCCACCAGGGAAGCCCTGGAACCAACTTTTAAGTTCCACTTCAAGTTCATCTTAAAAATCCCAGAGTAGGAATAGTAACTCATGGTGAGAACCAGAATTTCTTACTTGTCTGCAACTGACTTGCTGTACAACTTTAGGCAGGGTTCTTAAAATTTGTGTATATTTGACCATGGAATGGTTATAAGTGTGTTTTCTAATTTCTCCAAGGAGTTGAGAGGCTTCAAGTTTGATCTGTGCATCTGGAGTAGAAACTGCTGTTAATATATTAAGTATATGCATTTGAAAAAGCAATTTTAACAGATACCATGTTGTTGTTGTTGTTGTTTTTTTTCTTTTTTCGGTACGTGGGCCTCTCACTGTTGTGGCCTCTCCCGATGCGGAGCACAGGCTCCAGGCGCGCAGGCTCAGCAGCCATGGCTCACGGGCCCAGCCGCTCCGCGGCATGTGGGATCTTCCCGGACCGGGGCACGAACCCATGTCCTCTGCATCGGCAGGCAGACTCTCAACCACTGCGCCACCAGGGAAGCCCCCAGATACCATGTTATTAAAGTATAGACCCCTAACTTAGATGAAAGTTCAGAGACACCAATAACATGTTTTGATTGTCATAGATTTCATTGAAGATATCCCATAAACATTACTTCAGAGCTATGGTACAGAGGAAAATCCGGCCTTTCCATTTTATAAACAGCTGCAGAAAATCTGTCTTGGGTTTTTTAACACTTTAAGAAGCAAGGCAGGCTTTGGTTTTTGTTTTTGGCGTGTCCTAAAATAATGACTATTTGCACATGCATTTGATTCTTTAGCTGTTGAGAACGTGTGCTGATTTATTCCGCCTGGTTCCATTTATGGTGTTCATCATTGTTCCCTTCATGGAATCCTTATTGCCAGCGTTTCTGAAACTCTTCCCAGAGATGTTGCCATCAACTTTTTTTTTTTTTTTTTTTTTTTTTTTCGGCACGCGGGCCCCTCACCGCTGCGGCCTCTCCCGTTGCTGAGCACAGGCTCCGGACGCGCAGGCTCAGCGGCCATGGCTCACGGGCCCAGCCGCTCCGCGGCATGTGGGATCTTCCCGGACTGGGGCACGAACCTGTGTCCTTTGCATCGGCAGGCGGACTCTCAACCACTGCGCCACCAGGGAAGCCCTTGCCATCAACTTTTGAAAGTGAATCCAAAAAGGTATGTAGGATTTTAAACTTTTTAAAAAATTAATAGATTTTGTTTTTTAGAGCAGTTTTTAGGTTTACAGAAAAATTGAGCAGAAAGTACAGAGGGTCCCCATATACCTCCCTCCCCCTGTTATTTCCCCCATTATTAGCATCTTGCATTCGTGTGGTACACTTGGTACAATCGAAGGACCAATATCTATACATCAGTATTAATTAAATCTCATACTTTACATTAGGGTCCACTCTTTGTGTTGTATAGTTTGATGGGTTTTGAAAAAAAAATAATGTATCATACATGTACCGCTATCACAGTATCATACAGAATAGTTTCCCTGCCCTAAAAATCCCCTGTGCTCCACCTTGTAGTCCCTCTTGCCTCTTCCCCTAACCCGGGGCAATCACTGATCTTTTTACTCTATGGTTCTTCTTTTTCCAAAATGTCATGTAGTTGGAATCATACAGTGTGTAACTTTCTCAGACTGCCTTCTTTCACTTAGAAGATGCATTTAAGATTCTTCCATGTCTTTTCCTGGCTCATTTCTTTCTATCGCTGCCTAATATTCCATCGTACGGATGTACCACCATTTATCCATTCATCTATTTGAAAGGCATCTTAGTCACTTCCAGTTTTTGGCAATTATCAATAAAGCTGTTGTAAATACTCATGTGCAGGTTTTTGTGTGGACACAGGCTTTCAATTCATCTGGGTAAATACCTAGGAGAGCAAATTGTTGGGTTGTATGGTAAGGCTATGTTTAGTTTCAAGAGAAATAGACAAACTGTCTTCTAAAGTAGCTGTACCATTTTGCATTCCCACCAGCAAGCAATGAAAGTTCCTGTGGCTTCATCAGCATTTAGTGCTGTCGGTGCTTTGACTATTAGCTATTCTAATTGGTGTGTAGTGGTAACTCATTGTTATTTTAATTTGCAATTCTCTAATAACACATGACATTGAGCATCTTTTCACATGCTTATTTGCCATCTGTGTATCTTCTTTGGGGAGGTGTCTGTTCAAATCTGTTGCCCACTTTTTAATCGGGGTGTTTTCTTTTGGTTGAGTTTTAAGCGTTCTTAGTATATTTGGGGTACAAGTTCTTTATCAGATATGTGTTTTGCACATATTTTCTCCCAGTCTTGTGTCTTTTTCAGAGCAAATCTTTTTACTTTTAATGAAGTACAACTTATCAATTTTTTTCTTTCTTGGATCATGCTTTTGGTGTTGTATCTAAAAACTCACTGCCAAACCCAAGGTCACCTATATTTTCTCCTGTGTTTTCTTCTAGGAGTTTTATAGTTTTGAGTTTTACATTTTGAGTTAATTTTGGTGACAGGTGTAACATGAGTGTCAAGATCTTTTTTTTTTTTTTGGCCTGTGGATATCCAGTTTTTCTAGCATCATTTGCTGAAAAAAACTATCCCTTCTCCACTTAATTTTAACTTTTTACCATGAAAAAATAAAGAAAACAAAAATCACCTGTTACTGCAGTGACCAGTTGAACAGTAGGCATGATTTATTCAGCCAAACAGACCATTTAGTGCTTGTGAGTAGTCCCTGGGAAGAGGGTGTCCATCTTTGATGGTCACTGTGAAGGTGAAGCGCTGGACCACCGAGGCAGCCCCTGCATCCTCTCCATCTGTGCCACTCTCCCAGACAGATGGATGAAGGCGTGGACACAACACTAGCAGAGGACAGAGAGGGCAACTTTGAAAGCAGACCAGGAAATGTTTCACGGAAGAGGTGACCGTGGACCTGAGACTTTAAGAGTAGTAGAATTTTACCACACTGTTTGAAAGGCACTCTGGATAGAAGGAATAGCACTTAAGATGGCTTAACAGTGTAAAAGAATATGCCAGTCAGAGACCACTGACTGATTCTTTGTGGTTGGAGCAGGGAGTACAAGGGGATGGATGGGAGAAAATGAGACAAACGTGATGTGTTGGGGTCAGGTTGGAAAGCATCTACCACCCTAAGGAATTTAGACTTTGACAGTGGTGAGTAATGGAAGGTATATGTAAGCAGGGGGTAAGAAAAACAGCAATCTCTATTTTAGATCAATCTAAATAATCTAATCAACCATGATTAGAGTTGTATTTTAGAAAAACAAGTTGCCGGCAGGAAGGATTAAAGAGAGCAGACCCAAGTGAGGAAAGTCAGCCGGAATGTTTTTGCAGCAGCACAAGAGAGAGATGAAAAAGCCGGAATTATGAAAGTTGCATCAGGAGTGAAAACTTGAAGATAGATTTGAGAGACTTCCCTGGTGGTCTAGTGGGTAAGACTCCACTGTCCCAATGCAGGGGGCCTGAGTTCTATCCCTGGTCAGGGAACTAGATCCCACATGCATGCTGCAACGAAGATCCCGAGTGCTGCAACGAAGACCGGGCGCAGCCAAAGTAAATAAATAAATAAATAAAATATAATAATAACAGTAAATAAAGTAAAATTTCTTTAAAAAAGAAGAAGATAGGGCTTCCCTGGTGGCGCAGTGGTTGAGAGTCCGCCTGCCGATGCAGGGGACACGAGTTCGTACCCCAGTCTGGGAAGATCCCACATGCCGCAGAGCAGCTGGGCCTGTGAGGCATGGCCGCTGAGCCTGCGCGTCCGGAGCCTGTGTTCCGCAACGGGAGAGGCCACAACAGTGAGAGACCCACATACCGCAAAAAAAAAAAAAAAAAAAAAAGAAGATAGATTTGAGACAGATTTAAGGGGCAGAATCAAATTGCAATATTTAACTGCCTGGCAGTGGTTTAGTTTACTTACATTAAAGTAAACAGGATCTAGAATTAACACCATAGGATTCCAAGGAAGGCATTAGTGAATGCAGGAAGATGGGGGGAATGAGGCAGTGATTTATCTAAATATTCCTCTTTCCTCAGCACTACTCATTCCCCAGACATACATATATACACATCATGGCCACAGTTTTAGAAAATACTGTCTTTGCTTTGTTCCATGAACAGAAGGGGAGCACGAGGGTGAGCGTGAGTGTGCTAGCTTTCTACTCACACCAGGTCACAGGATCATGCGCTTCTCTTTCATGGTACTTATCTGGCATGCTTTCACATTAATTTGTGGAATGACTGGATTATCATTTGTCAATAATGGTTGTCTCTCCCATTAGACAAGAAGTTCCATGAGAGAAGGATTCTTATTTGTTTTTGCTCATTTTATCCCAGCACCTAGCACACAGTGGATGCTCAATAAATAAATGGATGGATAGATACAGATGAATGAAATGGATGGCTAAATGGGTTTTAATGATGGTATTGCCATTGTGTAATTTTGGGGGGCTGATTCTTTTAAGATCTTTCTAAAAAATCAATGATTGCTGTGATTGGCTGGTCATTAGAATCTCTTGGGCAACTTAAGGGGGAAATATATATATGTATATACATAATATATATGTGTGTGTGTGTATATATATATATATATATATATATATACTATACACACACACACACACATACACACACACATATATATTCCTGTTCCTCTCTACCCACCCTGATCATGGTTATTTTGAAAATACTACCACACTGCATCTGTAATAATGAATGAGGATTTAGAAATACTGGTCAACATAGTGTCTTAAGAGTATACATTTAATTCTCTTTTATATAGTGCTTTGTTCATATCTGTTATAGCACTTAACTCATTGTCTTATAATTGATTCTTTCTGTTTTCTTCTTAACCTGTAAGCTACTTTAGTTTAGAGTTAATTTCCTAGTTTTCTTCAGTTTGTGGGCCAAGCAAAATTTGGGGCCACTCACACTAGGGGTTGACTTGACCAATGGCCTAGATGGCTTGCACCAGGTTAAGAGACAGTATGTATCTATTCTAAATAGTGACAAAGGCTTCCACTGAGGGGACATTTTGGATCTATCAAATATTTATGATCAGTGTATCAATGAAAAATAAAAGGTAAGATTAAGGAGACAAGCTGCAAATCAAGGCTACTTTTTAATTTGCTCTGGTTATCACAAAGCACCTTCAGTTAGGTCTGAAAATAATATTCATACGTGAAATATGGATGACAGACAACAAAGCCACAGTTATTTTCCTCTCATCATTATCTACCAAGTTGTAATCACGAAGAATTAACTTTGATTAACTTTTTCCTCTTCTATTATGAAGGAAGAAAAACAGAAAAAGAAAATGGCTGGGCTTCCCTGGTGGTGCAGTGGTTGAGAGTCCGCCTGCCGATGCAGGGGACACGGGTTCGTGCCCCGGTCCGGGAAGATCCCACATGCCGCGGAGCGGCTGGGCCCGTGAGCCATGGCCGCTGAGCCTGCGCGTCCAGAGCCTGTGCTCCGCAACGGGAGAGGCCACAGCAGTGAGAGGCCCGCGTACAGCAAAAAAAAAAAAAAAAAAAAAAGTGGGAAGAATGTTTCTTGAATCTGAATCAGTTGCTTTAAAAGCATTCTGCCTGAGGGAGCAGAGCTCCCAGAACTGAGAAGGCAGGATCCCATCGGCCCCATTTAGATGTTTAGGGGTTGCTTTTAGAACTTTGGAATAAACAATACCAGTCCCAGAAGTACCACAGTTTGGGGTCATACCAAGCAGAAACTGTGTTAAGTTGTTTACTGAGGGAGTTTTGCAGACCACGGAGTTGGGGCCGTTCCTGGGGTAGGGGAGGACCACCACCCAGACGTGCAACAAATGGTCCATTGAAAGCTTTTGAAGTGGAATATTTTTCTATGAGTCTTAAAGCTGCCGCGAAAGGGAAGTGGAGTAGAGCTGTCACAATCAGGCGAAAGGCAACGCAAAAGGGGAAAGAATTACCTTGGGGACAGGCAGTTGTGGAGTTCTGTCAGCTTCTCTGATATTATTAATACCTGTTGCAGGGATTCCCTTCATGTCAACCACTGCACCTCCCGAGGTCACCTTGCTTTATTAAGTGCCTGGCCTTTGCAGCAGTCAGCGCGGGGGACAAAGTGGGAAAGTGGCAGATTCTGCGTTTCCCCTGATTTGTTGGAATTAGGTAAAATTGGAACCAAAGGATCCAATACTGTTCCTTACGTTTGTTTCAGGTAATTGCCAAGGAAGGGGTGAGTGCTCTGAGCCTGTCAGAGCTGCAAGTGGCCTGCAGGGCCCGGGAGATGCGCTCACTGGGTCTCACTGAGGAGCAGCTGAAGCAGCAGCTCTCAGAGGCAAGTAGCAGATTTACAGGACCCTCTTCCCCCGAACTCTCTCCCCTGCCATCTGCAGACCTCGTTTTGTGATTTGTGCTTTGCCATCTTACCTAATTTGCCTTGTTTAGTTGAGCCGCTGGCAGCTGAAGAAGCTGGATTTATTTATTTTTTAATTAAGTTATTTATTTTTGACTGCATTGGGTCTTCGTTGTAGTGTGTGGGCTTCGCATTGCAGTGGCTTCTCTTGTTGCGGAGCATGGGATGTAGGCGCGAGGGCTTCAGTACTTGTGGCACGTGGGCTCAGTAGTTGCAGCTCGCGGGCTCTAGAGCGCAGGCTCAGCAGTTGCGGCGCACGGGCTTAGTTGCTCCGCGGCATGTGGGATCTTCCCAGACCAGGGCTCGAACCCGTGTCCCCTGCATTGTTAGGCGGATTTTTAACCACTGCGCCACCAGGGAAGCCCTGGATTTATTTTTGACAGAGACGCGGTAGGTACTCTATTAAAGGGTTCTCTACTGCTGCTAACACACCACCACAAATGTAGGGGCTCAAAGCAGCACCCATTATAGGCTCACGGTTCTGCAGGTCAGAAGTGCAGGCAGTTTTCCTTTCTGGAGGCTGTGTGGGAGACTCCACTTCCAAGCTCATTCAGTTTGTTGGCTGAATTTAGTTCCTTGCAGCTGTGGAGTGAGGTCCCTGTTTCCTCACTGGCTCCCAACCCCAGGCTACTCTCAGCCCCGGAGGCCCCTCCACCTGTGTGAACTTCTCACATGATGTCTAGCAGCAGATTTAAGGTCTCACGTGATTAGGTAAGACCTACCAGGATAATCTTCCTATTTTAAGGTCACCTGACTTGGGACTTGAATTATATCTGCAAAATCCCTTCATGGCAGCACCTAGATTAGCAGTTAATTGAATAACTGGGAGAAGGTGTGGGTACACGAGGGACTGGAAATCTTGGGACCACCTTCGAATTGTACTTCCTCTGGGTATTATAAAGGCCTGGGCAAAAGCTCTGATAGAAGGCCTGTCATCCGTGTGAATCCATCTGGAGCCACCTTGCCGGTGGCTCAGCTGGGGTTGCTTTCCCAGTTTGTGCCCCAAACCAGGGTCAAGTGTCAGCTTTGTAACAGATTTCCCCTCAGATAACATGCTCTCCCTCAAATAAGAGATTTTAACTGAGTGTCAATGCTTTACAACAAAGGAATAACTCCTATTACAATCCTCATTCCTGTAACTGTATAAAGTGCTATGGAGTGTACACAAATTTTCTGGGAATAGGAGCCACCGTTGTGACTGTGAACCCGGTCAGGTAGCTATTTCCTCTTCCATGTCGGACCTGCTCTGGTTGGAAGGTGAGCATGTTATCAAGGGGTATTTAAACATCATTTATTTCCTGAACATAGAGTATTAAGTGACTTCATACTGTCAAATTGCTTTCTTGAAAGGATGTATCATTTTACAATGCACTTCAAGGGGGTGAGAATACTAATCCAACCATACAATATTCAGCACTCTGTATTGTTATTCCAAAAATCCTATGCTAGGATACAGCTGACATTTCGCAGAAAGGAAAAGCTAAAAATGGTAAACCTAGGAAACATCTTAACTTCAGAAAAAGATAAATTAAAACTATGCAATTTGGGAATTCCCTGGTGGTCCAGTGGTTAGGACTCCACACTTTCACTGCTGAGGGCCAGGGTTTAATCCCTAGTCGGGGAACTAAGATCCCACAAGCCACATGGTGCAGCCAAAAACAAACATACAAAAAACTATGAGACTCCACATTCACCTGTTACGTTGGGAAAGGTCAGAGTCTGGTGACACACCGAGTTGGAGAGGATGTGAGGAGAGAGGCACTCATGCATTGCTGGTAAAATCCTCCATGGAGGTTTGGCAATAGCTTTCAAATTTTAAAAATGCATTTACTTTGCCCTAGAAATTTCACTTCTAGGAATTTATCCTATATTCTTGCACATGTGCAAAATGATATATCTACAAGGTTGTCTATTGCAGCACCATTTATGATAGCAAAAGATGGAAAACCGTAGAATAATCAAATTATGGCATTTCCGTACAATGGATTCCTTTACAGACGTTTAAAACGAAGGCAGCGCTACATCATCTGGTATGAATCAATTTCCAAGATATTTCAGAAAGCAAAGGACAAAACAGTGTGTATATGTCACCCTTGGTGTAAAGATAAACATATAAATATCTATTTTATATGCACAGAATATCTCTGGAATATTGTATCAGGAACTGGTATCAGTGGTTGCTTCCAGGGAGGGAAATAGGGTAGCTAGAGAATAGGGTAGAAGGCAGGCTTATTTTTATTGATTAGATTTTATTTACCTTTTGAATTTTGTCTCTTGTGCGTGTATTATATCTATATATATACACATACATATACATACATACATTTAAAGTTTGGCCATTTGGTACTTGAAAACTTACATCTCATTCTAATGTTAATTTCTATGGTTATGAATGAGGCTGATGTATTCTTTCACATTATCGACTTCATACTGAAGAGAATATACTTAGCTACTTTGATCCACAACTGGTTTGAGAGTTTAACTGAACCTCCCTTTCAGACTCTGAAAGCGAGAGGCTGCAGGGCCCAAGCACTGGTGCAGAAGCCAGATGTGTCCCTGTCCTTGTTCTGCCCTTAGTACTCAGCGTGCGCCTGGGGACTGTAAAACCAGGGAAGAGTAGATGACCGTGGGTCCAGCTCTCACGTCCTGTGATTGTCATGTTTCATCCTCCCCCCATTCTCCAGTGGCAGGACCTCCACCTGAAGGAGAATGTCCCTCCTCCTCTTTTGCTTCTGTCCCGAACCTTCTACCTGATAGATGTGAAGCCAAAGCCAATTGAGATACCACTCAGTGGGGAGGTAAGTCCTGGGTCGGTGGGGAATCTGGACCCCATGACTGGGGGCCTCTCCGCAAACCTCCATTTCCCGTTACAGTCAGAGTAGGCATTTCTTTTGGCATATCTTGGAATTTGGCCCAAGTGGCTTTAAAAATCTTTAAAAAATGAAAACCACTCAAACCATCTCTAGCTATGTAGCTGTTACTATCTTTAGGAGTCTTATTTGATTTAGGAGTCTTATTAGGAGTCCAGTTTATTATTTCTCCTTAAGTATCTAGTCTTTTTAGCGGTTTCCCCCCCCCCACCATTCTTTCTCCTTTGAGACTGAATGGTTCCTGTTCTTTCATGTCTATTTCATTTGTCCAGATTCCTATTAATTTTTTTAAGTTTTTTTTTTTTATGTGGACCATTTTTAAAATCTTTATTGAATTTGTTACAATATTGTTTTGTTTTGCTTTTTTGGCTGCGAGGCGTGTGGGATCTTAGCTCCCCAACCAGGGATTGAACCTGCAGCCCCCTTCACTGGAAGGGGGAGTCTTAACCACTGGACCACCAGGGAAGTCCCCAGATTTCTATTACTTTTTAAGCAGTGAATGGCCAATCTAGAATATAAACAATTCTTTTTGTCTTCCTTCAACTCTTTTCCTTAATCATTTTTTTTATTGCCTTGAACTCAGCAGCCTTTTTTTCTCCTGGTGTTTTACTGAAGAACCCAGGACTGGCCCAATCACTAGAGCATCTTGCTCTGGGTCCATCAGAAAGGGCCTCTCACTTCCCTACTTTGTGGCTTCATGTCTGACTCAGAACATGCATCAATGATAGAAGATGCTGCACATGTGACTGAGCAGATTGAACTAAGTACTTTGGAGTGAGGACCAATCATTTTAAATCTTTGTTACGCTATTGACTCTTTGGGCAAAAGCCAACAAAAATGATACAACGTCTAGCATGAAAAATGAACTTCAGTAGTTTTGGACCTGATTCATAAATGTGACTTCTGAAAGGGAAGTGAGATGAGGGTCTTGGAAGAGGTAGGGCCTAATCATATTTCAGTATGCTTTGGATGTGCTCAAGTGATACTTGAAGAATAAAACGAACACTTAAGGATCCTAATCTTCAATAAAGCTTGTGGAGGACAGCCAAAAAAATAAAAAATAAATAATAATAATGTACTTCAGGAAACACCATCTTACTTTCCCTTTCCATATTTCCAGAGACTAATCTGGATTTGGGCTTTGTCCAGAAGGATTCTAGGGAGACTACGAGCAATTCTGGAACATAAACCATGTTCTAAATAGGCTGCTGGGTTCTTACATTTTCTCTGAGACAGACCAGCTATTTGTCATTTTTAGACTGCCCTTCAGTAGCAAAGAAATTCTGGAGTAGCAAAATGTCTTAGAGCTAAATTTGAGTTTCAGAATTATTCTAGAGGGGCATAAACTCTTGATCCAGATGTTGCTTTCTGGAATGGTTAATAAAGACCTAAGAAGTAAGGACAAGCTCCTAGGCATTTTATTGTTGTTGTTTTTTAAAATCCATGCTTTTAAACTTCTCCATATATACAAAATGAAAACAAGTAGCATACTAGGTTCAGTAGAGAACTGAGAGACATCAAACTGAATATACTATAGTTTTGGATATATGTAGCCCTTTTCCCTCCAAAGTACATGAAGAAATTACTTCCAAAGAGCAGTGATATATTTACTTTTCAAATCTAATTAATGTAATTGTTGAAGACAGATTAGCTAGCTCTTCTAAAATACTACTCCCTCCCTCCATTTTCCTGGTGTTGCAGGGGCATCTATTAGGCAGCACCTACCATTTGAATAAGTCAGACAAGTTTATCACTTATTATTAGACACCATATAAAGATGTCACTTTTGACTAAGTTATATCAATGCTATTAGAAACTGATGGGTAAATGAGAAATGGCAACTTTTGTGTTTTTTTTTTTTTTTGAGAGTGAGAAGAGGATCAGAATTGGCAAATCAGTAGCTTGTTAATAACAGGGGATTTTAAGTATCGGAATCTAGTTAGAGTGCAACTAGGGTGCACAAAACTCAAAAGATAAATAATACTAAGTTGCTATTTCAGGGACAGGCACTTCATGTTACTCATAAAGGAAGTCAGGGATTTAGTGGGAAGCAAATTGTGCTGGAAAGTACTGACTACCATAGAAGTGCTTCTGAGTTTCAGGAAGAACCGAAGGCTTAGCTTATGTAAAACATTTCTCTCCCTAGGCTCCCAAGATGGATATTCCCGTAGGATCACCCACTTCCTCTGAATCTAAAGAGAACATGGCGGGTTTAGCACTTCAACTGAAGGGAACTAAAGTTAGACAATTACTTTTCATTTGCTTAAGTGAAAATAACAAGAAGTTAATTTCTCTATCTTTCACCGCCTGAATGAAACTGAATTTCAATACAGTGGTGTTCTTTAATACGGGTTTGTTTTTGGTACTGCTTGATCTGTTTCTAAGAAAGTTCAACATCTGGCTATATGTACTTAGGTTCCAGATTTTGCCTGTTGAGTCCAGTGCCAGATATGAAGTAGCCGTTTCAAGCTCCTGGTAGCCATGGCAGGCTGACTGTAGACCCAATATACCTTTTGCTGTAAGTCAGTAACCCAACTCTCAGCTCTGATGTTTAAGGATGAAGAACTGATACGGCTGCCGCCAGCTACATCATGACTCACACCATCAAAGCCTATTTCATTATGTAAAGGATCCATGACTTCTGCTAAAGAAGCTGTAAGTTTCTAAAAAAAGAAAACCCTTTCCCTCTAGTTACTTTTAAGGGCAGTGAGAATCTAGAATTATAACTGTTGCAAAACACCGCACCCTGTCTCCCTGTCTTCCAAACAGGAAGCTGGAGGCTGAACTTTAGTCATCTTTATAACCACTATATTTTTTAAAAACTCCATGACCCAGGGCTTCCCTGGTGGCACAGTGGTTGAGGGTCCGCCTGCCGATGCGGGATGTGAGGGTTCATGGCCTGGTCCGGGAGGATCCCGCGTGCCGCGGAGCGGCTGGGCCCGTGGGCCATGGCTGCTGGGCCTGTGCATCCGGGGCCTGTGCTCCGCGACGGGAGGGGCCAAGGCAGTGAGAGGCCTGCGTACCGCCAAAAACAAAACGAAACAAAAAAACCCCATGACCCAAAAGTGAAAGAAAAAAAAAAAAATCAACAAACGCAATCGTGGATCAGACCTAACCATGTTAAGTCTAGAAGCTAATTACAATATAGGCAGATTCTTATTTTCTGTTGCGCCAGATGGAAATAGTTCCCATATGTTGTGTATTTCACACGGGCTTCAGATGTCAGGAAATACTAGCAGGAAAGCAATTTAAATCTTAGGAGAAGTGCATGTAAATAAGAAATTACTTATCTATCCACTTTTCCCATTTGGGGGCGAGAGCAGAAAGCCTGCTGCAGTGAACAGTAGGGGGTCACGGGAGAGTTGAGTTGTGGAGTGGCTTTGCTGACTCCTGAGAACCAAGGAGAGAACCAATGAACTCCCAGATGTTTAGGCCTTGTTTGCATGTCTTCTTTCTCACTGTGACCAGTCCCTAAAATCCTTATGTTTTGTACCCCGACACTCCAGGCAGAATCACAAGATAACCCAGAACAGCAAGGCTAATTCGAATGGAGCATAAGGACTCATGGAGGATTGAGCGCCCTCTCTCTGGCTTCCTGCCCTCAGCAATGGCATCCGTAAAGGACATCCCAGCCAAGACTACCTATGTCTGGTTTCAGATATAAGATCAGACATTTAGTCCTTGGGGCAGTCTTTTGAGGGCTTGTAACCATTCAGATGATGTCAGCAGCAAGACCAAGTTCAGACCGTTTGGAAAACTATAATTGCAAAGTCCATTTCCCCTGCAGCATTAGGTCATCCCACTGGACCTTGTGTAAGGCCCACCCGCCATGTTGTTTTCCAACAGCTTCGTGTCCTTTAAGGGAGGAAATTTTTTGCATAATGGAATCAGCTTGGTGCCTTAGATACCTCTTGTCTCCTCTGGCTTGGTAACCCGGGTAAGAACTTGGGAACCTCCGAAGCCAGTGATGGTGAGAGTGCCTGACCAACTCTTTCAGACTGACCCATCAGTAGGAACAGTGCCCTGGAAACAAAGTACCTTCTGAGACAGAATGGATATAACTCCCCAGTTAAGTCTTCCTGGATATAAAGAAGAAAAAGCTTCTTGGAGAAGCAAATGGGGAGTACAACAGACTGGCAATCAGAAAGATTTGGCCGCTGCTTGGCTGTTCTGAGACAGCCCCTCTCGGGCCTGCAGAGGCTGCAGGGATCTGGGAGGCTGCCACTCTTCCAGCACATATGGCTTCCATTAGCCTCCATTTGCTAGGAAACATAATTAAGGGTTTAAGACTTAACCATTTGTTTGTGCTGGGTTTGTGTTTTTCTGGTCTGTTTGTCTTTCACAAACAAGACTATCTGTTAGTCACAGGGGTTGTTAAGAGTCTGATATCATCCCTACGCTACCCAGTAACAAGTATTATGTTCAGATATTTGCATTGGGTGTCTTCAGTGTTGTCCATACTGAAAAAACTTAACATAATAAATAGGCTGCCCTGCAGCTAGCTGACCACCAGCCTTCTTCCCCTGGGGAGTGCTTAGAAGGGGAGGTACTTCAGCTGTGGGTGATGAAATTGGATTCCTTTACTTGCTGTGAAATTGAAAGCAGTTAGATGGGAGTCAATGGAACCAAGGAAAACTCTAATCTCCCCACCTGGGATCATCTAAATGAGGAATGTCATCAGCATTTCGCAGCAAGGAAATGCACTTTAAAACGCTTCCTAAACCTCCTCTCCGCCTCACCAGGTCCTGCCGAGGAACGCCAGTGCCTCCCCGACCGTGTGGCCTTCCGGGCATCTCAGCATTGGCTTCGCAAGGTGATTCACAGTAAATTTTCCCATTTTTCAAGTGATGGTTGTTTAATTAGTTCACATTTCAGGTGTTACACGTGAGAAAAGGATGAGCTAGTGCACTTGCTCAACCCTGTTTCAGCTGGATCCCTCACGGGTGCTGCTGAGCTGCTGGCTTTCCCCATGAACAGAGTGGGACTGGTTAGCTCAAGGGGTTTGGACCTGTTGGACTTCACCCATTTTTGCTTCATAAATAGGCATCTAAGACACTTGACACACCTCTCCTCCCCTTCTTCTGAGAGTCCTCAGAGAGGTCAAGGTTGTTGCTTTGTTTCATCATTGAGAGCACTTGGCTGGTGGGTCCCATGATCGTCAGGTGCAGCCCCCTGCTGAAACCGAGCTAGCGGTGTTCTGGTAAATGATTAACACACAACTCTGGCAGGGGCCGTGGTTGCAGGGGGAGCCCTGATTTGTAGCCTTCGCAGATTCCGGTGATGTAAGTATTCCCACAAGGTTGATTTTCAAGCTACCAACAGGAGGTCACCAAACAATGCAGAGTTGGGAAGAGATGTACACGATCAGCTCAAGACACCATACTGAACAGACCCTAGGCCTCCTGGAGGAACGAGAGACACTTAAACCTCTAATTGGTGCGTGCAGCAACTGTATCAGTTCCACGAACCAACACAGGCATCTGGGAGGCAGTACCGTGTAAATGGCCATAAATAGTGTTAAGTGCCAACCTAGTGAGAACTTGCCCCAACCGAGTGTTTCTGAACACCAGGGTTCCTGCCCATCTGGCTCTCAGCAGCTGAGGGAATGGAAGCCTGTCTCCTTCCCCCACTCTCTACTCTTCCCCACAGATGCAGATACCGCGGCTGTACCGGCTGCTAATAATCTGAGTATAACTTTAGGCGTTTTCTAAAGCCCAGCCCCAGTGCTGATGTCAGACTTGGGCCTTGTCTCACACACTGAGAATTCTGCTCCAAAAGAAAGGTGTTGGTGGCATCTGACATGTGTGGACCTGCACGGTGCCATGTCTAATCCTGTATTTCGATCATTACAGGTCGCACTGGTGATATCGAATAAATGCTCTATAACGTTAAAACCTAGACTAAAGATTTCCCGGTCACCACCAGCGCACAGCTGTAGGTAAGGTCAGACTAACAGATGGTGAAAGCCGATTGGCACATTACTTAATTTTTGATTCTGGCTTGCTGGCTCCCCCCACTGGCGGCTGATCCACACAGCGACTCTGTTGTCATTGAGACAGATTCTTCCCAGCTGTGGTTTGATCTTACTTACCTGAGATCAATACGGTACATTAGCGGTGCCCGGGGAAGGATGCTCCCCAGCCTGTGGCAGTTAGAAAGGGCGGAAGGCAGTATCGATCGATGCTGTGGTGATCCCAGGCCCTAATCTTTTAACCCTCAGGAAACCAGACACTCAGTGCCTTGACAGCACGACATCTTCATTAGATAAGCTGGATTCCTTTCCTCGGGAGACCCAATCTGGTCATCTAAGTAAAATGGCCATTTCATTTTCTCTCAGGTCAATTTCACTATCTTTTATTTGCCAGTCAGCTCAGTCTCTCGGGAAATTCACGGGGGATTTCAGTAGTAACAGCGAGGACATCACTGTTACGGTAACAGTGCCTTCTATCTCCCAGCACCTCTCCCGAAGGTACAGAAAGCCCTTTGTAAAAGACCGTCCATCCGTCCACACAGCCGTGGGCAGAAATCATGGGTTTACAAGGGAAGGCCCCACTAGAAGGTGACAGGCAAATGGTTTTAAGTGCGAAAATTCATTTCCTGGCTCTGCCAACGTATGCCTTCTTTAAACATAAACACAAATCAAGATATGTTGACAGTTGCATATTCATTCACAGAGGAGACCCAGGAGACCCAGGAGAAGAGAGAACTTTACAACAGTGGCCAGCACTGCAGCTGCCAAGAAATAGCTCGGAAATGAAACTTCAGGAGCAAGCCCATTCTCCCGACAGGCATGAAAGCGTACTGGACTTCCTTTTGCACTCAGAAGGAATCCAGCAAAGAGCAAGATTTGGGGGTAGAAGCCGAGTACCAATAGGCTGAGCACTGAGGTTCCAAGGAGCCAGGACCTACTTGGTGAGGGCAGTACTAACCAGCAGGTGGTGGAGGAAGAAAATTTCCAAGCAGCCAAAGCACAAACATTCAGACAATGTTCTCCCTTTCCTGAGGGCTGGGGTGGAGTTTGTATAGGAAGAACCATAGGAAGCCAAGATGTGCGATAGTCCCAACACATGCAGTCTGATCACACGAATTCAGGAAGCGTGGATGGGCAGGGGAGAGGGGGAATCACGGACACAGAACAGCCTGGGAGACAAGAAACATGAAGCAAGGGGGCCTGAAGGTAAAGCTCGTCTTAGGGGACAAGTCCTCCCTCACACAGAAGCACGGGCAAAGCCACACCCACACAGGGAGGGGCAGCCGCGCATCTGGGTCTGAGTGCCTGCAGGCCCTCTTCGAATCATGCTTAGCCTACTCGCTGGCTCTTCGGAGGTCGGCCCCCAGCTCCCTGTCTGACCCTCAGACCCCACCTGGCCTCACCCTCTCCCCCGAGGAAACCATCCGTGGTGGAGAGGGCCGCAGGGCCTGGCCCCAGGCCCAGCTTCTCTGCTCCCTGCCCATCTTTCCCTGCCTTTTCCCAAAGCATCGCAGAGCTAGGAGGCTTGTCCGGAGGCCTCAGTGCAGGACCTGAGGGCAAGAGCCGGTTGGGAGTGGGGACCACAGAGAGCACGCAGTGCCCTCTGGACAGACAGCCCCAGAGCCCATCAACCTTGCTCCTCTGCAGCTGACATTCTCTCCATGTCACACAGCCCGTATAAAAATGAAGCAGCAGCAATTTTTATTGAGGGACCTAAACTGAAAATAGGTTTAGAACATAATTTAAAAAAATAAAACAGCAAAAGTAGCAAAAAATATATGACCTTTTTAAAAACATTTTCCTTTTTTTTCTTTTTTCTTTGTTTTTAACATATAGCAACTGATGCCTCCCAGCCACCAGGAGCATCTTACCCAATGGGTAAATCTCTGGTAACGACCCTTTTAAAAAGACATGTAAATATATACTCAGATTTATACACTTTGTGTTTTCTTCATAGCTATGTACAAAGCCCCTGCTTTGGGGCTGGGCCCCAGGGCCACGACACTGCTCCCAGCCTTTGCGTCCCCATCCTCCGGTACCAGGTATTTGGTCAGCAAAGCAAATTAGTATCGGAATTAATAAGCCACTGGCACCATCCATCTGGAGCAGAGGTCGCCTTCCACGGAGGCCCGAGTGCTGACCACCCCGCCTCACTCCTGCTGTAGCCCGAGGACCGGGCACCTGCCACGGGAACACAGGCTGCACGGAGCAGACAAAACCAACACAGAAAAGCTCGGTCGGCTCTCCCTCGCGTGCTGCCCGTGCCCCCACTGCCTGACCCTCCAGGCAGTGCCAGGCGGCTGGGAGGGGTCCCGGTCCAACATTTGGGACGGAACCAAGTGGCCATCAACAAGTCCCCGCCTCCCTGCTCGTCTGTGTCAGCAGCAGGCTGAGAGGAAGAGGAGAGGGGAGCTCGGGGGCGACAGCTGGCTCCTGCCAGCAGGAAGGGCAGAAAGGAGGCGGTGAGTCCAGCGGGAGCAGGGCCGGGGCCGTAGCTGAGGATGGAGTCCGGGGAGGGGTGCGGGGTGCTAGTCAGCGCCGTTTGAGTCCGCCATTGGCCAGCTGGGCCGGGTGTCGGGGCAGACAGGGCTCCTCGGGCAAGGGCTCGTGAGAGAAGACGGAATCCTCCCCAGAGGAGCAGGTAGAGCTGCGGGTGTCGGGGAAGCTGGGGGAGTACTGGTCCAGGGGCATTGATAGGTCCAGGTACTCCTGTGGGAGGGGACAGAAGGACGCTGGACCCGCACTCTCCCCCCGGCAGCGGCAGGAGGCCTGAAGAAAGAACCCGGCTGGCGGGGCCTGAAGGTCTGGGAAGGGCAGCCTCACCTGGTTGGAGGTCAAGGCCACTATGCGGTCCAGGTCTTCCACCAGCTGCTTGAAGGTAGGTCTTTGAGAGGGTACCGCGTGCCAGCAGTCTCGCATCATCATGTACCTGAGGCAGGCCGGTGAGGGCGGGGGAGGGAGGACCAGAGCTGATAACAAGGCTCAGGGCGGAGGGACCATGCGAGGAGTGACCGGGGAGGGCTGCGGTGTCTGACTAAGCACCCCTTCTTCCCTCTACCTGCCCAGCCCATCTCTCCCCCAGGGCCCAGGCCTGGACCCCAGGCATCTTCTCCCGCTTACAGCTCATTGGTGCAGTTACTGGGCTTGTCCATACGATGACCCTCCTTCAGCAGCTTGAAAAGCTCCTCTACAGGGACGCCAGGGTACGGGGAGCCGCCCAGAGTGAAGATTTCCCACAGAAGCACCCCAAAAGACCACCTGTGGAGGAGCGTTCCGGGCACAGAGCTAGGCCACCCTGCAGTCCTTGCCGCTCTCCCTCCCCAGCATGGCAGGCACACACCCTGAACCCGCCCCCGGCCCCCAACACAAGTCCCTAACCCCAGGGGACCCCAGGGGACCATGACCTCCGGGAACAGAGTGAAGGGGCACATACAATGTTTTTTTCTCTCAGAGATGGAATGCCAGACTCTACCGCCCAGGCGCCTCTTTCCCGGCATCCCTGGCAACTGCTTATTTCAGACTCACACGTCGCTCTGGTGGGTGTAGATCCGGTCAAACAAGGCCTCGGGTGCCATCCACTTGACAGGCAGTCGGCCCTGCAAGCAGCACGGAGACACATGCAGGGCTGGACTTGGCTCACCCCACCACCGTGGAGCGGAGCCCCGGGCAGAGGACGGGCACCGAGGGTGGCGCCAGCACTTACGTTGGTCGTCTTTTTATAGTAGTCGATGTGGTGGATGTCACGAGCGAGGCCAAAGTCTGCGATCTTCATCACGTTGTCCTCCGTCACCAGCACGTTCCTGGCGGCCAGGTCTCGGTGTATGCACTGCGGAGCCAGGAAGGGAAGACGGATGGGAGTGAGGAGGGCGGGGCGCAGGGGAGGGTCTGCAGCGGGGTGCAGGGGAGGGTCTGTGGGCCCGCTCCCCTCGCAGGCCTTCGCCCACCTCACCACTCGACCTCCCCGAATGGTCCAGCTGCCCGCTACGATGGCCCTTGCCTGCGCGTCAGAGCCAGCCGTCCAAACGCCCGCAGCTCCGGGCCCCTCGATCACTCCAGCAAACCCTCCGTATCGACCCCTTTTCCTGCCCCTCCCAGCTCTTCGCTTTGGATTTGCACCCATCGAGCGGAACCTTTCGCTTCTGTCCCATGTGTATGAGATCTCACGCCCCGTCTCCCTGCGCGAAGCACACCCACACCAGGCTGGGTTCAAACAAAGCAGCAGTTACCGAGCACCGAAAGCTGTACTTAAGTCTCACACAGTACCTCATTTTCCCCCCGTAGCCATTCTACAACGCAGGCAGTATCATTCTGACTTCACGTTTGAGGAAAAGTAAGGAGGCGGCTGCCTGCGGCTGCACAGAGAGTGCCAGTGCAGGGACTGGAACCTAATGCACCCTGACCCCAAGGCCACAAGGCCGCATTGGCTCTCCTGGCTCTGACGTCCCCTAAGAGCAGCTTGCACGTCCCCCACTCCAGCCAGGGGAGCCTTCAGGAGCCACACCTTCTTGGAGGCGAGATACTCCATGCCTCGGGCCACCTGATAGGCACAGGATACCAGGTCCTTGGAGGACAGCTGCTCCTCAGGATGACGGCTGGGGTTGTAGCAGTATTCCAGCCCCGGTGGCCTCCGGGCCTGCAGGTACTCTCGGAGGTTGCCCTTGGAGGCGTACTCCACGATGACATACAGGGGGCCTGGGGACACGAGGACCGAGAGGCCGTCAGGGCCGCCACGCAGGCACACGGGCCTAGTTTCACCCCAAGAACTCCACCCCCAACGGCACTGGGGGAACTGTGAGCCTGTTCCCCAAGCCTAACGTCCCCTTTTAGGGAACCCTGCAAATTCATTCCAACTCCCCAAAGAAACCCAGCAAAATCATCCTTCCCTGCACAGTCCAGGAAGTTCCCGAGCAAAGTTGGGGGCAAGAGCCCTAACCTAGACCACAGTAACTCAGCTGTTCCTGTCCACACAGTGTGTGTGAATCCTGGTACCTGTATGAACCCCAGTGGGCACCAGCCCAGACCCCGAGAGACACATTCCAACTACTGCTGA